GCGGCAGATACATGCCACATAAATGCCCAAGATCGCAGAACTTTGATTAGAAGCATCTGCATGAGCCACCAGACAAAGTCCACCTAGAGAAAGACGCCGAACTCGCCATCGGACTGCCCTGAACCGCCCCGCTCTACGCACTAGGTGATTAACGCGACGCAACTGGCCAACCGAATATTTGTTGTTTTATAAGAATGTGCTACCGCGTGAAAACTTGACCACAACGTCCAGACGCGTCTCCCCCGCCATCTAGTTCAAGGCAACCAGCGCGTCACGAGATCTCCTTGCGCGGGCGCTGGGGACTCGGGGGAACAGCGGGGCCGCGCGACAGCGGGCTTCATGGCTACGGGCGAAGTTCTGCTGATTGATCATCATGTCGAACGTGTTCGGGCCCTGCGGCCCTGCACTTGGGCCTGCGCGCCTCTAACGAAACGGAAAGGTAAACCGAAGATGACGAATTGCTCCCTGCGATGTTTCGCACGACTCCCCAAGAGAAAAACCATCGACGCGCGACGCGATCAAGCCGCGCGGTCTGGGGACACCGCGCAAAAACCCAAACACGCGGGCCCATCTTGGACTGGGCCCAACCAGCCTCGCACGACGCCGGGCGCCACTGCAACCAAGTGTCGCGAAACTTCTGCCACCGCATGGCGGGGGCGTCACTCGGGGCGCAAATGGGCTTCGCCTCCTCCGAGATCTGAAAGCCAGCCCAGGCAGTTTGCAATTCGGCTGGCGGAGGTAGATCTTGCCCGCAGGCCCCTTCAGCCCATCAGCCTCGAGAGAAGCACCGGCGACGTCGGCCATGCTCACCCATCCTGAACTTGCAGAGGGCCAAGAGCTGACGCGCGACCACCCTCCCTTTGCGAGACGAGGCTGGTGATGGCGACTTCCGATCCCGCGCCAGCAACAGAGGGCCAGGGTCGGATTGTTCTTCAACGCGCAGCCGCGCCTTGACCGCACCCCGGCTGTCGTCGTCGATCTCGGACGCCATGACCGCGCGACTCCCGAGGGCGCGGCCTGGAAGCCCTCGGTGGATCCGCGCCCCCTCCTCTGAGCTGATAGGCAGAGGCGCCGGCTCATTTGCACGCGCGCTGGCCCACTCTTTCTCGATGCCGGTCTCTACCATCGCCTTGCCAGCAGGCGTCGCCCACCTCGCATACTTGGGCTTGATCCCCTCTCGCCCGCGCCGCCCGCGTCGGCATTATCGCGCTGGCCCACGTAGCGCGCGCCGAGTTCCTCATCCTCTGACCCATCAGCAGTCGCCACCAAATCAACTGATGGGTCGGTCCCTGGATGCGGTCGCGACGCGGACCCTCGATCTCGAAGGCCCCCCCGACCTCCTCCTGCCCCGCGCATCGCAGCAGCAAAGGGCGGCGGTGGGCTTGGCGCGAAAATCTGACCACCTCGTCGCCGGCCCTCCGACGCTGAGCCAGGGCCCAAGGTCGCCCCGAAAGCAGACTCTTCGATGTGCTTGCCGGGCTGCTATTCTTGACTTGCCACAGGTTGTGGTTCTCAAACTGCTTCAGATGCATCGCGCGAATGAGCTTGACTTTGCCCCTCCTCGTCGGCCGCGCTCAGGCCTGTTCCAGGAAGCGCCCCATCACCTGATGCCCAAGAAACCTCATTCAGTCCCAGCGCTTGACGTGACCCCCCCAGCCAGCGGACGCAGCGCGGGTCGGACCACCTCCTCGGCCAGCTTCCCTCCGCCGTCGCGCGTCGCAGTTGCTCCGGGGCGGCCTTGCCCGGGCATCGCCGCCCAGCCGCGGCCGCGAACTACGCCGACAATAACATCGGGAGCGCCCCAAGAAGGCGGCGCCTAAAAGGGCGAGCTAAAATCGCGGCTGGCCGCGCGCGCGCGGCCCGAGAGGGCGCCCGGGGCGCGGTGAATTAAAAAGAGGCGCCGTGACATCTGAAGAGATACCATGGCCCGCGCCCCCCCCCCCCCCCCAGTCATCGCCCCCCCTCGGCCGCCCCCAGCGGTGCCAGGCCCTCGCCATCGAGCGCGAGCTTTCCGGGGGCGCCTCTCCCTCGGCGCCGCGCTGCCGCGCGGGCGCCCGCAGCAAACTCCCGAACCGCGCGAGGTCGCGCCCCCCGCGGCCTGCAGCAGCCCGGCAGCTCGATCGCCAATGCGCTCGGGCACTTCCAAGCGAGCTGTCTGGCGACATCTCTCAGCATGCGCGAGCGGCTCCTCAACCAATATTGCACCATCTGCCACGCAGCCAAGCGCGTCCCCCAGCAAACCAGCAGGCGCCCCCGGGCCATGACCGACGGCGACTCGATGCGCAGAACAACCGCTCTCCCTCATCAGAGAAGGCCCTTCGCCACCGCAGCAGCGCCCAGGCAAGCAATCCAGCGCTCTCTGGTGCCAGGGGAACACTGATCACACCCGTTGGTAAAGATGTCCTCGATGCATTGCGCGCGTCGTTCCACTCGGCCGATCCATTCGCGAGTCTCACCTGCAGCGCAAGGAAACTCAACGACGCGGCTGCCCGTGCACTCCGTGAGCTTCTGACCGCGGCTTCCCTTGCTCGCGTCAAGTCGAATGGCCCGCGGCGCCCAGCAAGGTTTGATCCGAGACTCGCACGGCCCGCGACGACGAACCTCACCCGCCCCCACCTCGAAGGGAGGAGACGCCCGCCGCAGAGCATCCGAGACGCAGAGCACGCCCATGCCCGCAACCCTGATCGTCAGAACCCGTCCGTGCAACTCTGTGACATCCGTGTCGAGCAGTCTCAGCGGGGGCGCCAGCTTTGGCAGCGCAGCCAGGCGGACGAGCCTAGGCTGCTTACTGCCATCACACACCGAGCATTGAAATGTCCTAGCAGTTCGGATGGCCCTGTCGCTGGCAATTGCACGTTTCGACACCCGAACTGACGGAACGCCCATGCGGCGCCTCTCGGCGACCCCCCCCTCCTCCCCGCCCCCTTCCGCAGCGAGAACCCGGTCTTGCCCCTGGACCTCGTCCACAGACGGCTACAGCAGAAAGCCTTCTGCCAAATCTCGATCCAAAAGTTCTAGGCGTTCTCGCGATAAAACATACCGCTTCACGCCGCCAGAGCATCCCACGCAAGACTGCCGCACGTGACTCCGAGCGCAACTCTCCTCGCGCATGGCCCACTTCAGACTGTCACAGTTAATGGCAAAACTTCACGTATCCTGAAGAGGCAAGCCTTCATCCGCGTCTCGCAGTCCAACCTGGCAACCTGCAACTGGCACTCGATGGACTCCTGCGCCCCAGCATTGACGACGCAGTCCTGGCACGCCCCTCCATGTCGTCAAGACTGCAACTTCAAGAAAGAAATACCCACCACATGCCTGGACTTGAAGAACCATCTGGAGACCGATCCCCAGGAAGACCATGGTACTCTGCAGATCGTGGAACTACTGTCCTAGATTACGACGACGATTTGCGAGGGTCTGCCCCTGGAGAACTTTTAAAAAATGCACAGGGCGGTGAACTACCCACGACCCCAGGCTTATCCTCCGAAATTAATTCGGCAACCTTCCGTTGATCCATGCTAGATGAAGCAGTCCATCCAGACTTGATGTCAAAAATCCCAGCTCTTGAAAGCCCATTTTGGCACACCCTAGACACAGTCGCGGTGCAGACAGTAATTTCAAACGACACTTTGGCCGCGGGCTCTGGGTCTCGATCAGATGCTCGTAGTACCTCTTGAGATTCCTCCGATCTCGTCGACGCAGGATTCCAGAAACCCCAGATTGGCAGCACTCGAAGTGGTCGTCGTCATCGTTCTCACCTCCGACCTGAGGGCCCCGGTTTGGCTCTTGCGAAACCCGCAGTGGCCTCCGCAACCTGGGCCACCAAGGTCTCGCTCACCTCGGCCTTCGGGGTGGACACGGGATTCTTCGATTCATGCATCACCTCGCACAGGTAAATGATAGTGCCCACTGTTTGCCCCCCGCAGTGGAACTGCCACTCCAACGTTTGTCATAAATCACCGGATCACGCACCGCGTCGATGATTGCTCAACAACTGCCCAACATTGGGGTAACCAGCAACAAAGGAATTGCACCAACGATCACATTCAAACTATTATTGATTTCACGTCCACTGGTCCTGCACCTAATATGAAGGTACTTGTACGATCTCACCGTCGGTTGATCACCAAGCTTGAAAGAAATAAATTTGGTGTGAGATAAGTCCGCGATTGCCAAATTTGCCTTACCAATCGTTCACAATGTTCATCCAAAGACCCCTCGCCAATGGAACCTTTTTTCCGCATCCCGCGCCCAGCACACCGTGACAAGCATCATGCGATGAAACCACAACCTCCGCGTCCATGACGTCTCGACCGGTACGGTGATACACATGGCTCGCCTTCTCGAACCAGGCATCGAGCACCTCCAAATAACGGTTGCGAATGCCACGGCAGGCGTCGTCCAACTCCTTCCCGGGCCATCCCTACACATGCCTGGTCCTCCCCGCACTCCTCCGCCTCCTACGCGTACAAGACCTTTCGTCGGCGGTGGCCTCGCAAGGAGCGGCTTCGGACGGCGTCGTTTCTTGCGGTCCCGACTAAAATGCCCAACGTCAGCACAATTGAACCAACGAGTCCGCCGACCGAGCGCTTTCACACCCGGCCTGTCATGGTATGGCCAAAACCTCTGGCCAGCTCCTCCCTCGAGGTATCCGGACGTTGCTCCTTCCATGTCGCAGGCGCTTGGACTGCTTCGGACTCCTCCAGGGCGCCTGCTCCGATTACTCTGGATCATCGGCGATCAGAGCCTCGATCCCGTCACCCACGAAATCCTTATCGTTATTTGTTTCGAATCATTCGCACCATAATGCCGTCCTGAGCTGTAGTCCGACAGGCCGTTTCGATACATGGTTCTCAAGGCCTGTCGATTGTCGATTTCCAAAAGGCTGCCAGCACAACTGCGAAGCATGCCAACGGGTAACTGAGCCCCCACCAACAGTAGAAAGGCTTTCGCCATTGATGGTAGCTGCACACGTCCAGCATCACCACGGGACAAAAACGCACGACCACGACCACAGAACTGAGCCATTGTTTCCCCTTTGGCGATCTTCAGGCTGAAATTCTCGGGGGGGGAGGCTTTCCCGGTCGACCATGCGCCACGAGGCCTGGGAACCTCTCATCCAGAGCGGCCAGATCCGACCTCCTCCTTGAGCAGTTTTGGGCTCGTCGACGTCGACATCCTCGACCACACGAGCCGCCACATCGTCTAAGAGCCCAGCGCCTCGGGTGGCGCACCTCTCCGCCTTCTGCACATTCAGACATGCCCGAGCCCACTTTCGCCAGTGACAATGCTCCTTGCTTTACGTCCTGACCAGCTCCTCGGAAACGTCGCACAGAACCACTGCTCCCAGACTCTGGCTCGCGTACCATCTGCCCGCGCGATCTGAAACCAGGAATACATGACACCACTTGTCGAAGAGTAGCTGATGACACTGACCTCGGCGTCGCCCACCTCCACGCCTGTGAAAGACAACCAGCTCCGCGCTGCGCAAACAGCTTCCGACCTTGCCTGTCCTGGCAGACCCACGTCACCCCAGGAGCCCGATCAGCACCTCCCATCCCCTCCCGCTCCCTGCCCTGCACCACTCCCCACTTCATCTTCCCCATTTCCCCTCCTAGCCCTCCTGCGCCAATGTCTACGATTGGGCGCTGAGTGGTGCCACCAGCTGTTGATGGACGCATTCAGCCTCCATCGTCCCTGAAACGCTCACCGCGGGTTTAGGCACCATTCAGCCTGGAGGAGCACAGTTGGGGAACACCTACCTGGGTTTAGCCGCCCCAGCTCCGCAGGAACGGGTAGGCGAGGACGGCCAGCTGGTACCAGCGGGTCACCATCTCGGCCTCCAGAGCAAGGGGATGACAAACGGTGCCTCCCCCAGTCCTCCTCCTACTACTTCTCCTCCATCCTCCTCCTCCCCCTCCTTCTCCTCATCATCCTCTTCAATATCCTTATCCGTATCCTCATGCTGGCCTGCTCCTGATCCATGCCCTTCCCCTCCCCCTCTTCCAGCCGCCGCCACCACAACAACAGCCGCGTCCGCCTCGCCACTGCCACAACCGCGTGTCGACACCATCGCCGCTCATCGACAAACTCGTGATGTGGTGTCGCTATCCTACCAGGCGCCGCACCGACGTCCATCGCCCATCCCACCATGCGGCTGGGACCCTGGATCTCAGTGCTTTCTGTACAGTGACCCTCCGCATCGCACACCCAGGACTCTCGCCCGCAAGGCCGCAAGACCCACAAGGCTACAGACACGTGTCCCATACCAGGGACACGTATCTGGAGCCAGCTGTTGCTGGTGTTGCGACTGCTGCTGTCACCACTATTGGGGCAGTTACCGCTTCTATGACCGCTGGTGGTGCTACTACTTCTGATGCTGCGGATGAACGCTGCGGATGAACGCTGCGGACCCTGATCTGCTACAGCCACTGCTGACAGTCGATCAGCACTGCTACATTCGCTACTGTAACAACCCAGAGAGGCTGATTGTACGAATGTTGTTGCTGAATGTGGGCTGGACGACCTCGGAAGCACGATTCACGATATCTGGACTCGCGTGGCCGCGGCGACGGCGATGGACACACACACACACATACACACACACACACACACACACACACACACACACACACACACACACGCGCGCGCGCGCGCGCGCGCGCACGCAGCAGCGGATGAGACGATGGAGGGCCGCCTTCAAAATGCCCTTCATTGTGCAGTGGTGTAACTGGCCTGAGGACCCCCAAAGAAGGCACAAACACACACGCGCACACCAAAAAAACAAACGACGCTGGCCTAAAGAATACCTGACGTATAAGTTAACGTGTGAGAGCACCTCAGGGAGTGTGATGTTGCGTCCAATCCCACCCCCCGCCCCGACACGACGAAACACAGGGACTGCTTTGCGAACGGATATCAGCGCTTGCCCTGGGACATTACGGACTCATTGTCTTCACCATCGCCACCGCAACCGCCCCCACCATGCCCAGCACCCCGACGTCGTGATTTGCTCACAAAGCGGATCCCCAGGTGTCTCGACCCATTTCCCAGGACCAACTTGCCATCCTGAGTCGTTGTTTAACGCTCCCAAGGCCCGACGAGGGTACCCTGAGGCCGAAGACGGCCAAAAGCCTCCCGTCGCTCTGGGTGTCTCCTGGACCTTCCTGGGAGTTCAGAACACATACACACATACACACACAGAGACACATGGACACAGACACACATCTCACAGAACACATCGTACGCGACACAAACAGAACACACACACACACACACACAACGCCTACAACATGCGGGAAGCACGCACACAACACATGTACTCTCTCTCTCTCGCAGACACCCACAATACACACACGAACACACTTGACACACAACACATCCAACACAGAACACACTCAAACACACCCAACACACACAACACATAACACCTTGCACACAACCCACATAGCTCACTTAGCACACACACACACATGGAACACACAATCAACCAACACAACACACACACACACAAACACTACCCACCCATCACTCGCACAGAGCACACACAGCAAACAACACGCGCATACGACACACACACACAACAACAACAACAACAACAACAACAACAACAACAACAACAACAACAACGACGACGACGACGACGACGACAACAACAACAACCACAACAACAACAATACCACACACACACACGCACACAAACACACGCACAGCTCACATAGCACATAAGCAACACATCACATATACACGCACACAACTCCCAGGAAAGGAAGCCTGCTTTTGTATGAGCATGGGCACGCACGTGCCATCTGTATATATGCATATGTATATATATGTATATATATATATATATATATGTATATATACACATATGTACACATGTGTAAATATACATATATATATATACATACATATGTGTATATATATGCACATGTGTGTGGGCCCCTGGGGCCTACATATATTCGTATCCACCGCCTGTGGCGGTCCGCGAAGATCGATCCCCCAGGCAGTGGTTATGGATAAATCCCCGCCTCGGATGTGTGCTGTGTTTCTCCCTCCTGACTGTTGGCGGCGCGCACAAGGGGGCAGGGGGAAAGGGGGCAAGGCTTCTTAGAGGGAGGCTGGTTCGTAGAAGGCACCAGCCCTACCCTACATCTCTACAGACAAGGCCCGCGCCTTCTGAGAAGCAGGGAATGCATCTAACAAGCCTCCCCCACTACCCAGACGTATCGGTCGGAAGAAGTGGGCAGAAGCATGAAGTAGGAAGGCGGTGAAAGTAGATTGGGCGTCTGCCCGCCCTCTGAAAAGGAAGAAAAAAAGGAAAACACATGGTCATCGAAGTAGGACCACGCCTAAAGCAGACTGGGGTCTGGGAAGCCAAACAATACCTCCTAGCAGCGACCGACGGGTACCCGCCTCCCTGCGCGTGGCTGGGGCTGTCTCCTCCTCCTCCTCCTCCTCCTCCTCCTCCTCCCTCCTCCTCCTCAGCTCCTCCTCCTCCTCCTCCTCCTCCTCCTCCTCCTCCTCCTCCTCCTCCTCCTCCTCCTCCTCCTCCTCCTCCTCCTCCTCCTACCCCCCCCCGGCCTCGGGGTGCTTGAAGAAGCCCCCGACGTCCGCCCCGACCAGGGACTGGCCCGCCACGGCCAGCGCGCCGACCATCGCGATGGAAGCCTGCAGGGGTGGGCTCTCGCCTCGTCTGCTCTCGCCTCGTCCTCGTTCGTCGTCCTCCTTCGTCTCGTCCTCCTTCGTTTCGTCCTCAGTCGTCTCGTCCTCCTCGTTTCACTTCGTCCTCTTCCGTGCTGTCCTCGTCCTTTTCGTTCGTCTTCCTTCGTCGACTGGGTCGTCCTCCTTCGTTTCGTCCTCTTCCGTGATGTCCTCTCTCCTTTCGCTGCGTCCTCTCCCGTTCCGCCTGGACGTATCGAGGCGGACAAGTCGCAGCGGACGACATGAAAATCGGACGAAATCCGCCGACCCTGTCGGCGTGTGGAAGAGGCTGTTCCGTTTGACTCGTCGTCGTCGTCGTCGTCGTCGTGGTCGTTGCCGTCGTCGAGCACGCAAGCCACAGCGAAATTGAGCAACGTTGTAGTGGAGTCGAAGGGAAGCCCCTTACCTTTGATCCATTCCCCGCCGGGGGGAACAAAAATCATAGATCCTGAGCTTTTTGAAAGATTTCGGCATTATCGCCTTGTCAGCTTCCCGACGCTCCAAGACAGGCCAAGAGGCCCCCAAAACTGCCCCAAGATGGCCCAAGAGGGGTCCAAGAGAGCCCCAAAACGACCCGAAAGGGCCCCAAGACCGTCCAAGAGGCCTCCAAGACAGTCGAAGAGGCTCCCAGGACGGTTGTTAAGAGGGAGCGCAGACGGGGGACGCGAACGGACATTTCGAGCCCTCGGCTTGAGAAGCTCTCAGGAGACCCCCAGAGGCCCCTCAGAAGCCCCCCAAGGAGCCCCAAGAGACCCCCAAGAGACCCCCAGGAAGCCCCAAGAGGCCCCCACGAGGCTCCCAAGCGGCCCCCAAGAGCTTCCCAAGAGGCCCCCAACCCCAAACTACACCCAGGAGACCCCCGAGAGCTTCGTCGTTGTGGTCGTGGTTGTCGCCGCTATACAGGGTCGGCGGCACTGGCCGTAAGGCCTTCGCAATCGAATGGACGAAATGAGAAACGGACGAAATCAAACGGAGTCGCCTGCAGGTGCTCCCACTTCGCGTAGTTGTCGCCCGTCCAGATGGCCGCGTACTTGTGGGAGCCGATGAAAAAGGACCGGGTGAGCACGAACGGCCTACAGGCGGACGCCCACTACCCTGAGACCCGGGCGCTGCAATTGTTTCACGCTGGGCGTTGTCGCCCACGTTCGGGCCCCGGGGCCATCACCGATACATCCGGCTCGAGACATGCAGCAGAACGATCGGGTCTAGGGCTCGAGTCGCGACTTTTCAAGCTGACGCAGTTTTCTCGCGACGCGCACAAGGGGGCAAGGGGAGAGGGGAAGGCTCCTTAGAAGGAGGCCGCTTCTTAGAAGGCGCAAGCGCTACATCTCTACAGGCAGGGCCCGCGCCTTCTAAGGCAGGGGTGGCTCCAAGAAGCCTCCCCCGCTCCCCCCTGCCCCCTCTGCGCGTGACCGAGTTTTGTTCCTCGCAGTGCCGGATCCCATGTTATACTGGCACACCGACCCCTGCGCCAAGCCCATCCTGGGCCCGGGACCGGCGTGTGCGCCCTCCTGGCGCAGCCGTGGAGGCACACAAACTTTTTCAGTCGGCGGCGCAGAGGAGCCTCAGGCGCGGTCGGCAGGTGGAGGTGCCAATTGCGAACGAGCTTAATCAAACGCGCCATAGTGAATAACATGAAGCGCATGAAGCGCTGTAAAATCAGGATGCAGCGGCCAGCGAACCCGCGGAGGGTAAGCTCGACGCAGGGAGTTGAAGCGCAAACAGCAGTCGGGTGCGAATTAGCCAGAGAGGCGACGAAAGAATTGCAAAACTGCCAGACCAGCCAGTTTGAAGGCGACGCAAAGCGCGCAGCTGCGCGACAAGACGATGCCACTGGCCTTGCAACAGACACGACAAAGCGCCGTGCCAAGAGGCGTGATGAATCCTGCGAGTATTCCCCTCACACCCTTGGTTGGCGTGAGGGGTGACGACCCCGTGGCGACGATGTGGTGGTTTGCTACTTGATGCGCAAAGCACACACACACACATCGGTCCTTGGCCCAGGATGGGCCTCGCCAAGGCCTAGATCTGTAAATATACATGGACATGCATATATATATATATATATATATATATATATGTATGTGCATATGTGTATATATACACACACATCTCACTCGTACCTGTTATTTATTTGTTTATGTATATGTATATATGTATATGTAGAAATACATGCATTTCTAAATATGTACACACATATACATATATATATATACATGCATATACATATATATATAAATATATACATATATTTATACATACATACATGTCTGAGGTTGGGATTGGTAGAGAGAGAGAGATATCGATAGTGAGATCGATCGTGAGATCCGCCACCGTGCCCCCTGGCACGTTGAGGCGTGCTAGAATGCCAAGTGCTGCCTGGTGTTTCCTGTAATCTTCTCATGGGCCTCCACCCTCCGGGCCGCGTGGAGTCGCGTGCATCGCCCATGCTCCCCAGGGGTCCCTGGGCGGCCATGGCGCCTCCCTGGGGCTCTCCACCTCTGCCATGACGGCCCAGGAGGCCCCCAAGACGGTCCAATAGGGCCCCGAGTCGCCGAAGGATCGCTCGAAGACGCCCAAGATGGCCTCGAGATGGAGCAATAGGCTTCCAAGGCGCCCCAAGAGGCCTCCAAGAGATCTCCCAAGAGGGCCCCCAAAGGCACGAACCATTGATCTCCCTTGAAAGTTTAAAGGATGTTGGCGTTCTCCGCCTTTTCGGCCTTCCGACGCTCCCACAAGGCCCGAGAGGCCCCGAAGACCAGCCCCAAACGGGCCAAGATGCATCCAAGAGGGCCCCAAGACGGCCCACGACGGCGCGAGAGGCGCCCAAGACGGCCGAGGAGGGCCGCAAGACGGCCCCCAAAGGGGCCCCAGAGAGGGAACACGAACCAAAAGTCCGAGCCTTCCGCCCGAAGGGGCCCAGGCCCCAAGAGGCGCGCAGGAGGCCCCGAGAAGCCCCCAAGAGGCCCCTAAGAGGCCCCAAGAGGCCCCCAAGAGGCCCCCACCCCAAACGGCCCATAAACTGCCTCAGAACTGCCTCCACGAGGCCCCCGAGAGGCCTCCCACGAGATTCCAACGAAGATTCACTACGCTCCTCCATTGTCCCCTCGAAGGAGAGCCGCTAAGCGTGCTTGGCTGGCACAGTGGCGGGACTTGCCGCAGGCAGCTGGATAAGGTTGGGCATGATCGTGAGATCGGAAGTGAGATCGATCGTGAGATCGATAGTGGAATTGATCGAATGAAGTCGATAGTGAGATCGGTAGTAGATCGGTAGGGAGGTCGATTGAGTGAGACGTTGGCCTCTCCACCCCACCCCCGAGCATCCTTGTCACCCGAAGGGTATGTGGATGTAGTTACACGTCACATGAGAACTTGATGCTGTTCATCCCAAGTCGGGTTCGACGGTCCTGGGGCCCGGCGAGGGCCCCCAGAGAAGCCGAGAGCGGCAGCAAGCCTCCCGCCGTGCTGGCGCTCGGTGCTCCACGACGCGAGCACGCCTGGGCACGTGGGTCCGCCGCCGGCCGAAGCCCCACACGCCGCCGCGCCGGCCCCCGGGCGGGCCGTGCTGCCCGGCGGAAAGGGGGGACGAGGCGGGGAGGAGGAGGAGGAGGAGGAGGAGGAGGAGGAGGAGGAGGAGGAGGAGGAGGAGGAGGAGGAGGAGGAGGAGGAGGAGGAGGAGGAGGAGGAGGAGGGGGGGGACGAGGCGGGGAGAAGCAGGCCGACGGCGCGGAACGCGCGGGCGGGAGGCCAGGGCCGGCGGGGCGGGCGGGCGGACGCAGGAGGGGCCCGGCTGGGCACAAGAGGGGCGCTCGCCGGCGGGCGCCTGTCGCCCTCCACGCGCTTGGCGAGGCCCTCGAAGGTCGCGCGGTGCACGTAGTAGCCGTACATGTTGTGCAGGTCGCGGTGCTCCACGCCGCCCTGGCGGCGGCGCCCCCCCCCCCCCCGCCGCCCCGTGCACGCAGGACCCCCCCCCGGAGCCCTGCCGTCGTTCGGGCGTCCTCCTCCTTCTCCTCCTCTCCTCCTCCTCCTCCTCCTCCTCCTCCTCCTCCTCCTCCTCCTCTTCATCCTCCTCCTCCACCTCTCCTCCTCCTCCTCCTCCTCCTCCTGCTCCTCCTCATCCTCCTCCTGCTCCTCCTCCTCCTCCTCCTCCTCCTCCTCCTCCTCCTCCTCCTCCTCCTCCTCCTCCTCCTCCTCCTGCTCCTCCTCCTCCTCCTCCTCCTCCTCCTCCTCCTCCTCCTCCTCCTCCTCCTCCTCCTCCTCTCCTCCTCCTCCTCCTCCTCTCCTCCCCACCCGAGGCCCAAGACCCAGGGCGGGGGCCCGCCGCAAGCGCAGGCGTCTCCGCAGCCCCCCCCCCCCCCGCCTGGCCTTCACGCCCGTGCCGCCGTGAGGGTGGACAGCGTCGCGGGGGCAGGTCACCTGCCAGGGGGTCGTCGCCCCTCCCCGGCCCCAGCCCGTGAGAGGGGAGGGGAGGGGAGGGGAGGGGAGGGGAGCGGAGGGGAGGGACGGAGTGGGGAAAGGAAGGGGGAGGGAGGGGAGGGAGGGAGGGAAGGAGCAGGGCGAAGGGGGGAGGAGGAGCAAGGGAGGGGAGGAAAGGAGGAACGAACGAAGGAGGGGAGGGGGAAGGAAGAGAAGGAAGGCGGACGAGAAGGAAGGAGCAGCAAGGACTAAATATAAAGGACAGAACAAGACATCCTCAGAATAAGCACCCAGACAAGCGAAGCCTCTCAGTGATCGCACCAGGGCCCTTCAGTAAACGCCAAACTCGAAAGTCGGAGTGTTGTTCTCTCCCTGGATCGGCGGAAGCGGGGAGGGGAGGGTGAGGAAGAAACGGAAGGGAAGGAAGGAGCGGGACGTAGATGAAGAGGAGCGAACCGGGAGACGGGATGGTGCGAAAGAGGACGGGGAAAGGTCACGAACACAACTTGGGCGACATGTATTATTAGAAAGGATATCAGCCAGAGTGGACCCCACACAGCAACGTATTACGCTGTGAAGGTGAAAGGTATGCATGCTAACTCTGTGGCGCTGGCGATGCTGTGCTAGCTATGCAGACTAAGGTATGTGGCGACATCTGTGCTGCGTAAGCTGTGTGTGAGTGTGCGAGCTGTGCAGTGATAGCTATGTTGTGCAGGCTGTGGTGTATGAGCTCTGTCGAATCAGCGGTGCGGTGTGCCCTGTGTGGTGCCGGCTGCGGTGTGCACGCTATGCGGCGGGAGCTGTGCAGTGTGAGCTGTGCAGTGTGAGCTATGCTGCCCACCCAGCGCACGGGGCAGCGCGGCGCCCACGAGGCGCCCACGGGCGGGCACCGGGCGAGAGCTCGGCGGACCCACGCATACCAGCAAGCCAAGGACGCAGGATGCACTCGAGCCTCTGCACCGAGGCGGCCATGTCAGATCCGCAAGCCGCGCGGCCCCTGCGAGCCCAGAAGGGCGCCCGTACAACCCATGCCCCCAAGCCGCCCCGAAGACGGCCCAATCTGGTCAGAGAGAGGGCACCCGCGTTGCCACACGATGGCCCTCAAGCCGTGAGTCCGTGGAGGGGCCAGTGGCAGAGGGCAGCGCCCCATTGGACGACAAAATGCATACCAGCAGAACTTGGAGGTGGATGCGGAAGTGGACATGGCAGTAGGCGTAGAACAGTCAGTAGCAGACACATACGTACTCTCGCACTCACCGACGCAAGGGATACCCGACAAGCAGAGGCATACGTGAGTGCAGAATCTTCGCACGAATAGACGCACTGTATAAATAAACGGACAACGAACTTAACGCGTAAATGTTCCCGTATTGGTGCGTGCATGCGTGGTTCCATGTATTCGCCATGCCATCCTGAGTGCCACTACAATGTACTGCTGTCTTGGCAGTGGTGGCGCTAGCAAAATGTATAAGTGGCAACAACAGCAGTAGAAGAAGTAACGGCGACGGCGGTACCAAAAAGCGCTCTATAACAATAACCGTGGCCGTAGTAGTAGCAGCGGTAAAGAGAGAGAGAGAGAGAGGGAATAATAACATGTAGTGGCATATACAGTCGCAGTCGAAATAGCAGTAGCAAGGACAGTAAGGGAAGCGCGGAGGAAGGTGGAGGAGAAGAAACCGGATGAGGAAGACAGGGCCGTGGAGGGGTAGCGGGGACAACGATGAGGATGATGAGAACGACGAGGGGATGAGGGAGGCTGACGACGAGCACAAATGAAGAAGAGTATGATGGAGGAGGGAGATGGATGGGGAGGAGCAGAAGTTGGAGGGAGGAGGTGGAGGGAGGAGGAGGAGGAGGAGGAGGAGGAGGAGGAGGAGGAGAAGGAGGAGGAGAAGGACTCGCGGAGGTTGTTCGGCGAGTGGGCTGGAACCCGATCCGAAAAAGGATCCCCCTAAGCATGCTTCTGGGACCCTTCGTCGCTATGCAGTTGAATGGTGGATGGCGACTGATGCTACGAGTGACCATGGCGACGGCATTTCTGTACGAGAGTTGTCTGGAGCATCTCATACTACCCTGGATGCCGTGCACAACCACCCAAGTTCCGCATCTTCGCTAAAACGTACCACCAGTTCCCCCTCGGATATGCATCTGTGGATGGATGTGGCGGGGTGTGAGGCGGTCAATCCTGGGTTGATTGTGGCCAGGGATGGAACCCATTTCCCCTTCACACTCATCCCACCTCTCATTGTTACTGAGGCTTTCCTGCAGGATCTTAGGCAGTTGATCTTGCAGGGCGTCCTGCAAGGCAAACTGGGATCGAATGCCAATGACAGAGCTCTGGATATCTTGGGGTCCTCTCTGTGGAGTCTTCCTGCCCCAATCAGCCCTGAGCGCTGAGCATCATGCGTCCATGGTTGCAGGGCAACACACGTGCCCTGAGCAGCCCGAGGATACGCAAATGGGCATGGACTGTCAAGCTGTGGTTTGGGGGGCCCGCGGGCGCGGGCGTCTCCGCCCGCACGGCGCGGGCCAGGCCCCGCAGCTCATGCCAGGCCAGGAGGGGGAGGAGGAGGAGGAGGAGGAGGAGGAGGAGGAGGAGGAGGAGGAGGAGGAGGAGGAGGAGCCCCCAGGCCGGATACTGGAGGCTCACTGGGCCCCCGGGCTCGTGCCCCACAGAATGGAAGCCCACCGCAAATGGGGCTGAAGCCAGCAGCCCTGCGGAACTCTTCGACGGAAAGGGCAACGCCTGGGCCGATGAGCTCGCCAGGCGGGCTGCACAGACTTTTTTTTATACGGCCGCAGGCGAACGCGCCAGCGGCGGGCGAAGTAGGTCGGGCCGCGACCGGCTTAAATTACCGACGGCTAACGCGCGCGACTAGGCGGCCGCGGCGGCGCCGGATGCAGCAAGCAGCAACTGCGGCGAGGCGGGCTGCACAGACGCATAACATGCATGAGCCTGACCTCCTGTCTCACTGCGAGGGCCTTGCATGATATATGAAGGTGTGGCAAACGCCATGCTTGATGTGCTTGAGTCGTGGCCAGCCTCGAAGAAGGCATCTTCAGGAAACTGGAACGCGTGCCTGGGAGCCCACGGCACCCGCAGATCTGCCGACACCGTACTACTATATGGGATGATGATGTCTTGCGGCGCCTGTCCTGCCATCGGCGCGGCGGGACCACCCTGAGAACGTCTCAATGTTTCATCTTGCCTCCAAGACTTCAGCAAGTGGTTGAGGCCACCACGGACAGTCGATAGAATCGTGAGTTATGGTGCTCCACAATAGTTGGCACAGACGTCCCCACACTGGTCTGTATGAAATGTGGGCACCACGCAATTGTAAAGGCTAACAGACCTATTCAACCGCAGGGCCGTCCTCAAAACACGAGCGACCGAAGGAAGCTCAGACAAGAAGAGCTCCCAGGGGGCTCAACGCAGCGTTTGACCCCCCCCCCTGGCCCCTGGGAATAATGTGTGTTACCCAATCGCGAGCCGCCTGGGCCATCCACGAAGGGATGCAGTCTCGGATGCTTTCGGGATAGTGGGGAGGTGATGTTCTCTGCCAGGCTGTAGGGTTGGTCGACGACTTCACTGCGGGACGCGACGTGCGACGACGAGGAGGAGGAGGAGGAGGAGGAGGAGGAGGAGATGAAGAAGGAGGAGGAGGGGAGAACACAGCCACCGAGAAGACAAGAACCGTCAGGAGAGAGGGGAAGGAGAGCGGGAAAGGCGGAGGGAGAAGGAGCGGAAGAGGATTAGGCCGAACGTCATGGTCCCTCTGGTATTTGCTGCCCTGAGCCTCGGGGCCGTTGAACACGGAGGGCTCGTTCATGTCGTTCCAGACATAAAGGTCCGCGTTGGTACCCTCGCGGGCGGCTCGAGGGGCAGGGGCGGGGTGGGCGGCGCACTAAGAAGGAAGCGTGCCCCCAAATGCGCCGCCAGAATATGTCCATATCCACTACGGCGCGGTCGTGTCGCTGAGACTCGGGGAACAGTGGATATGGATATCTGCTCGCCCATGCCGGCGGTTAAAGATCCATATCCACCACTCCTCGAGATCCCAGGGCACTACCCCGAAGCGGCGGAGGTGGACATACCCGGGATGTGAACATGCTCTGGCGGATGTGGGCATACCCTTGCACGGCGTCTGATGCCTGGGTGCCCCTGCGGAGCTCGACCGCAGCGGTGGCTGTTCGGGCGGAGGGGGCGGAGGTGGAGGAGGAGGCCTCGAGGCTCGGGAGGCCGGCCCAGGGGCCGAGATGATGACTCGGGCGGGGGCTCAGCGGCCAGCCCCGGCGGGCCGTCTACCACGTGGGGGAGCACCTCCGCCCACCCGCCCACCACCCCCCTCCGCCCGGCCCCTTCTGCCCAAGGAGGGAGGAGTGCAGCACCAGCTGAGAGGGGGCCACCCCGTTCGCATGCACAGGCAAGCAGTCAGAGCGCGTCCCCCGATTCGTCGGGGTCGTTGGGCACGCGCTTCCTCCCATCCAGTACCCGCCTCCCCGGCTCTTCGGCCGAGGCGTGGGAGGAGAATCCAAACAGCGCGAGCCCGCGGACGAGGGCGACTCCTGGCACCGAACACGGGGCAGGGTCCAGAGGGGGAGCCTCATCAAGGCCGAACGTGGAGGCCATGAGGTCCCGAGAGGCATCGGGCAGGGAGGTGGCCGGCCCTACACCCTGCGAAATGCCTTAAGAAATCATGAGTTCAGAAATTCACAGTCTCAGAAGTCGAATAAAAACCCAGAAGTTCCATCCAAATCTTAGGATTCACATTGAAACAGTAAGGATAATCGAGACCCTGGCCGAAAACGCAAGTTTTCTTCAGCATCGCCCAGGGTGTACCCGCCGCCTCACCACGGGAGGGGCGCCCGGGGCGCCCGCCCTGCAAAACGGAAGCCAAGCGCCACGCTCGGCCGGCAGGCCGAGGGCCCGGGCAAGCCGACGCGAGAGCACTGCGACCCCAGGAACGCCTCCTCCTCCTCCTCCTCCTCCTCCTCCCCCTCCTCCTCCTCCTCCTCCTCCTCCTCCCCCTCCTCCTCCTCCGCCTCCTCCTCCTCCTCCTCCGCTCCTCCTCCTCCTGCTCCTCCTCCTCCCTCCTCCTTTTCCTCCTCCTCCTCCTCCTTCTCCCCTCCTCCTCCTCCTCCTCCTCCTCCGCCTCCTCCTCCTCCTCCGCCTCCTCCTCCTCCTGCTCCTCCTTCTCCTCCTCCAGGAACTCCCAGGGTGACCGACCGAACCGCACGTCGTGCAGCAAAAGAGAAAGTCCCAAAGAGGGCTCCCGCGGGGGACGGGATCGGGGGCCTCGAGGCACGCGTGGCCTCCCTCCCTCCAAGCTCCCTCATCATGGGTCCCGACCAGAGTGTTTGTGATTGCGAGGAGTGCCCCATTGGAGGACCACCTTTTCAGAATCCTCCATCACGCCACCATCCCTGGGACTTCAACGCCGCGAATCAACGAGACTGCTGCGTCCGGGCAATCCTACACCGTACCAGAGCACCGTTCCAGCGCCGCGAATCAACTTTACTGTTGCGTCCTGACAACCCTGACAACCAGGATACAAGACTTCACACTCGCGAATCGTTGACACCGCTGCAAACTTGCCAGGCGACTCTGTGCGGCCCTAAAAAGCGAGAGCCGCATTCTGAAGCGGGGCCGCCCGCCCACCTCGAAACTGGCACTGCTGCGAACATTTGTTTCCATGGAACGCACTAGAGCAAGGGATGGGATCAAACCGCAGGCCGTGAGGGGAGAGCACGACGTCCAACAGTCTACACGCCTAAAGCCGCGGATAGGCCGGTACACCCAAAATGTGGATGTCAATCTTATGTTGTTCCGGTTTGCCCGCCTCCCGCATGCACGAAAGTGGACAGGTAAATGACATAAAGTGGCTGGCCGGGCTGACGTCACCACGTTCGGGGGGGGGAGGAGGAGGAGGAGGAGGAGGAGGAGGAGGAGGAGGAGGAGGAGGAGGAGGAGGAGGAAGCCGAAGGAGGAAGAGGAGGCTGATACGCAAATGCCCCAGAAACGTATCATCTAGGAGCGCGCCTAGCATGGCGGAGAAACCAATGAAACCACGATTATGGAATTACTGCAGGCCTGAGGGCACAGGAGGCCCCACCCCGCAGAGGGTGGGCAAGGCTGCGGTTGCCGAACCACGCTGGACACAACAAGCAGGCAGTGGGAGGGAGGCGGAGGAGGAGGAGAAACGGAAGGACGAGGGAGGAGGACGAGAGAGGAGGACGAGGAGGAGGAGCGAAAGCAAACTTAGCACGCTGTGTGCACATATCCCCCAAGGCCCAAGCGGCCACCGATATTCACACAAGCGAACCCCCACGGCACCAAGCGAGGCACAGCGCAAACTGGCCCACCTTGTGCGGAGCGAAAGTTGAAACCATAGTACGTAGACTGCGGAAGCATAGCAGCGGCGGCAGCGAGAGAGCAAGAAGGGAGAGAGAAACTACTGCATTGGAGCCCAAGCGCGAGCGACGCAAGCCGTCGCGGCGCCATGGCCCCGCACTATCTCCTTGGCCGTGTGGGCTAGAGCCTGCCAAGCCAGCGGGCCGGCGCCTGCCGGAGAGTGCCTGCGCCGACAATGTAAAATGTACACGGCCGCGATGCGGATGCTCTTCCTCACCAGTAGATCGCGAACTCCAGTGGAGTAGCGTGGCACCAAGATCAGGAGATCCTCGATTGCTCCAGGGCCGACTGGCGCGTCGAGGTGTAGGAAGCGGGAGCCGAACTCGCGGACGACGGGGCACCGGGCGTAGTGCTCGATGCTGTCCTCGCAGGCGCACCCGAAGATACATCGACCCTGCTCTTGACAACGTCGGCTCGTGACCCAACCATTCCACCAGGCGCGCAACACTGCGGCCCGCGCCCGCGCAGGGAGGTAAGAACTCAGAGACGGCAACACCAGTAGTGCTCGATCAGCGCGGACCCGTTCGAGCAATCTCATATCGTACCGCGTCAACCGTCGCCGCATGAAGAGTTCGAGGGTGGCACGGGTGGACGGCTCAACAAAAGCCCGACATGTCTTCTGCCACTGGCGCCGGAGAGTGAGGAGGTCCTCCGGGGAACGAGGACGAGGATGCCCCAGGATTCGCGCTTGGATTCGCTGGGTCCCGAAGCCAGCCTCCGTGAAGTGGTCGACGGCAGAATCCAATTGAAGAACGAATGCGGATGCGAACCACGACGCCATGATGTGCTGTCGCTCCAACTGGTTCGATCGAGATGCAACTGCCCGGAGCTCCCTTGCGCGAGTGCGGATCGCCAGCCCGCCGTGGAGCCTGTTCTCGAAAGTGGCGACCCGGTGCTTGGCTGCGAGCGCGTGCGCGTCGAGGTCAAGCAGGCCGCCCTGGAAGCCGAGGTGCGGTAGGGCCCGCAAGGCGTCGACCGTGGCCCAACACCGCGGACCTGGGAACAGCTTGGAAGCCGCGGTCCGTTCGAAGCAGGCCCATTCGGGTGGAGGGGCATCCAGCTGGGCAACGAAGAGGACGGTGGAGAAGATGCACGCGCGGTACGCCAGCAAAGTGAGCTCCAATCCACAACCAACCTTTCCCCAAGCAGCGGCGCGCTGACGGTATTTGTCCAGCGGTTTGTCCCACGAGGTCGTGCCGCGGCCAGGCCCTAGAACGAAGCCGAGGTACTCCGCCGAGGTCGCGACGCGAACCCCTCCCCAGGACGGTGCTGCCCTCGCCAGCCGGCCCCGGAAGGTGTCCAGGGGTTCCAGGTGGAGCGGGATGATCGTGGTCTTCCCCAGATGGAGGTGCAGGCCGGAGACAAGGGCATACTCCTCGAAGATCTGCTCCAAGACCCGCGCGTCCCCGACGCCAGAACGGGAGACCAAGGCCAGGTCGTCCGCATACGCGCGCACGGCGGCCGTGGGCAGGAGGCGGCGCAAACGTCGGAGGAGGAGGTCCGCCGCCACCGCGAAGAGCAGCGGCGAGAGCGGACACCCCTGACGAATGCCGGCCGTAATGGCAAATCCGTCGTGGCGTGCCCCCGCGGCGACCACCTGGCAGCGGTTCTGAAAATAGAGTGCCCGCACAAACCCCAAAATGCAGTCAGGAAGCCCCAGATGCTCAAATAAGTCCAACATGAAGCTATGGTCCACGCTCGGGAAGGCCGCCTTGAAATCGAACATGACGGCAAAACCATCGTCCTGCTCGAGCGCGGTTCGCTGCATCTCCAGGTCGATGTCGATCACGTTTGCCAACATCGACCGCCCGCCGATGAAGCCACGCTGCTGTGGAGAAACCCATTTCGCCAATATCGGCTCGATCCGTCGGCGCACTGCGCTGGCGAGGATGCGATTGTCGAAGTTGGTGACCGTGATCGGCCGGGTGTGCTCCGGGTCGTAGAACTCCCCCCATCGATCGTCGAAGCCAGACACCTTCTTGGGGATGAAGAAAATCAACGACTCGTTGAAAGAGCCGTAGTCCCGCTCCAAGACGGTCAGGCCACCAGTCCGCGACATCTCCTGGAGTGCTCCATGCAGGACCTGCTCGGCGAGAGGACCGAGGGCCCTCCACGCAGCTGCGGGGATCCCGTCTGGGCCAGGAGTAGACGAACCTGAATGGGCAATCACATCCCGAACGTCCCGACGCGATGGGGCCCACCTCGAGGACGATGCTGGAGGGAGCGACCTCGATCTTGCAGGCAAGTCTTCAGCAAGCCACCTCGCTCGAAGTGCAGAGTCCGTCGGGCGCGCCTCGAACACCTGGGCCCAATGCTCGCGGAGATCGGCTGCCATGGCGTCTGGAGATGTGTGAATGTCTCCCCTCAGGCTCCGAGTGGCCGTCAAGAACTTCCCTCGCCCAGGAACGAGGCGACTCAGCAGTCTGGAATTGCGAGCTCGGCGAACCGTCGCTTCCGCATCGGAGAGGTTCGGCAGATCGTCCCGGAACGCGGTGAGCTCCCGGACAGCCTGGTCCCTCGCCAGAGCGACGGCGTGCTCTCGCACAGCCGCGAGGGCGCCGCCTTCCCGAAGGGAAGTGCAATACGGGTTGGGGACGAGGTCGGCGAGGTAGGGGTACGACGATATGCACCTGCCGATCGCGGAGACGGAAGAAATCTCCACCGCACGGATGAAACGCATGGTGCAGCCGAGCCTGTCCTCGACCGTGTGCGCGGAGACCGCGCGCCCGTCGGTGACCATCTCAAAGCTGACTTCCTGGACCGCCTGCTTCAGCAGCGGGAGGCGAGCCACTGCCGAGAGAGAAGGGGCCGTGTCGAGCAGGTCGTGGTATCGCAAACTGACTCGATGAAACCACTCAGGGCGACGGACGACGTCTGCTGAAACTGGACGCGTACCCAGCCGCGATTCTGCGGCCTGGCGGCGTTGGAAGAACATTGCACGATGATGTGAAAGATGAGGCACCCACTCT